AGCGTGCGCGCGCTGTCGCCCGTGCACTCGTTCAGCAGGTTCCATACTCCACGCCACGCACCCACGCACGCCACGCCCGCTACCGCCGTGCATAGCCGCGACACTATGTAGTATGTCAGCCTACCCCGTTCCGGCCTAAGGTATTTGCTCAGTTGCGTTTGGAACACGGAAAACAACAAGTCACAGCACAGTCCGAAGGCAGCACACGCGGCCGCGCTGCCCACAGGGTCGTCGGGCAGCACGTACAGGTCCATGAGAGTCCATGTGGACTTCCAGTAGGTGACGACGGCTGGTGCCACCACGAGGCTCGCGAAGAGCACGTCGGCGCACTCGAGCAGAGCGGCGTGCGCGCGCGAGCCGCTCGCCAGCGTGTCGGCCAGCCCCGCAGTGCTTCCGCGCATGTCTGTGCAGTGTGTGGCTGAGCGCGCCTGACTGACTCCCACCGGCACGCCGCGCCGACAGATTACTACAAGTAATTGCATTATCACCCGTCCCGCGCTCTGACGTACCCGTGTTTGCTTGGGGCTCAACGATTCTACGCTACCAGCTACATTAGATGCTAGGATCGCGTGTTTCAGATAAGAGGTCCTTAACCAGCTGAAATTGCTCACCTCTCTTCGATAGACCTTGCTCTTTTATGCGAGATCCTCGTAGAAGTGAAGTCAATGAGAATGAGTCAAGTTTTCCGCGTCCTCGATGCTCTTCCTTATTAAAGTAATGTAATAAGATAATGTCCCTTAGTTGACAGACATTGTATTTCTTAAGCGTCAGGTATCCATTATCTTCTATTACTTAATTTGTTTACATTATCGGTTCGTAAGCACGACCATTATGTTCGCTAATATTACAAGACAGGTTATTACATTGAGGAGAAGGATTTTTCATAACGTTATAGCCTGGGTATGTGGAAGATGCGTAATACCTACTTATAGAACCACAACATCAAACACAGGACTTCTCACTATTTGCTCAATTCAGTCACCATGGTGGCCACCAGTATGGTCGAAGTAAATTCCGAATCTCAAGAGCGAGGACTCTTTACTGTTCGTTTCTAAAATAACTTTGTCACCTCTTTTACACACTTGGTGATAGATTTTTCAAAACTTTTTGTTACGAAATAGTATAATATATATTATGTATATATACTTCGATCGTCTCGGTCTCGTCATGTGCCAGCAGAGAGATAGAAGCAGAATCAGCTTAGTATAGATAGGATTCAAATGATTTCTCGAGTATCTATAACTACTAATTCGAGGATATATCACAGCCGTGACAGAATGTACTGCGGAACTTCAGAACCCTGGGCTACTACATAAGAGGGATTTGCCATAATCTGCAAGCTTGACAGCCCGGTTTGAGACAGCAGTTTAAAAAGTTCAAATATTTATTAGATCTCTGTTAGCAGTCCCTTACGCCCGAATACTGAATGTCTATTCAATTGTAAGTAGTACTTAAATATCATGCCATCTCCGTCATTGGCGTCATTTTATAAAGAGTTTGGATTGACAGAACTATGCTTAAGCGGCACTTCAAATTGAGTGACGTTTGAATATTTCAGCGTTAGCCTGTTGCAATATCCACGAGAAGAGGAGGTGTACTTTTTTGAGACAAGCCCGCCACAACCTCCCAAAATTGCTACAACTTCTGTATCCCAGGATCTACAGGAGATACAATCATGAAAACACTGGAACACTGAAGCCCGCGGCGTCTCAGGGATTCCCGATTCCCGCAATGAAATACACACACATCATACACACATCAACAGCCTACACGTGCCCACAGTGGCTGAGCGAAGCCTCTTCTCACACGGAGAAGGTTTGAGCATTAATCACCGCGCTTGCTTAATGCGGGTTGGCGATTTCAAACTAATAATTACCTAGATATAATCCCAGGTTTCTTTCCAACTATTACTTTCCAACTTGGAAAAAGTCACATTGGTACATGCCGTTGGTAGGTTTCAAACACGCACCCTAATGCATGAGAAGCGGGCGTTTTAACCTCCGGGCCACCACGACACGACGAAATAATAAGAAAAGGAAAAAGGAGATATAGATAAAAACAAATGTATATTATATATTCTTCTTATAAATTCGATATTCTTCTCTGTCCTATCCCTAATAGAGTAATACATCAATAGGCAACATAGTACTCGCGAAACGTTTATCTCTGCCCTCGCGATCTTTGTAAGAGTGACCGTGAGGATAATAAGACAATAGGCCGACAAATCACGATCAGTAGGGCACTACAACTGCCTACTTCCTGACTGAATCAATCCTAAATATTATAACTACGCATTCAACATTGACCGTTGATCTTTAGTAGGAATTGTCAACTTCGTTAACAATATGAGACGTACATACCTGATTGTAATTAGGGACATTTGATTTTACATTAATTCGAAACACCATATTTGTGGAACATATTATTTGCATAATGCTACAACATAAGGTTCTTCAAGAGGGCAGTAAATAGGTTTTTTAAGGGTCGGCAAGACGCATGTAATGCCCCAAGTGTTGCAGGCGTACATAGGCCACGGTAACCGCTTACCATCAGGTGGGCCGTGTGCTATTTTGCCACCATCGTGGTATAAAAAATACTGCCTCATTGGCCGAGTGGTCGCAAATGCGACTGCCGGGCACGGGGTCTCGGGTTCGATTCCTGGGTAAGTATTACTGTGTTTTTTTAATCTCAATAGTAGCACGGTGTCTGGAAATGTAAAGAAAGAAAGAAAAGAAAGAAAAACTTTATTTCACACGCTAAAACAGGTGACACGTACAGATTTTAGACATTTTACATATAAGTACATCTACTAATGTCCCAAGTCTGCGGTGAAATGGGACCAGTTCAGCATGTGCAAGACAGGGCCTCGCGCTGGTATTCTACTGGCCCCTTAAGTGACCCGCGGACGAACAAGACACCAATCAGATAAAAACACAAAATAAAATGCACAAAACAAAACAAACACATAATAACAACAAAAAAGGAAATTAAAAAAACGTAAAACAAAAAACAAAGTGAAATTGGAGCATCCTACCGCCCCCGCCACCCCAGCGACCGCATAAGTCATGCCATGGGATTGAGATGGCGACAGCAAACAGGCAAAACCGCGACACTACGCCATACGCCGGCGACCATTGAACACATGTGAATGTGATCAATTGTGTTGTGATGTGATGTGAAGTGACAGGCATCAGTGAGCAATATTGAGCACGCACGAGACCGAGCACAGCTGCGGCGCCCAGTCGAGGTGGAACCAGTGACACTGAAGTCGACACATTTCCCAGCCAAACAGTTATATGAATGATGTGTTGACAATCGCCATTCCTATCTTTCTCTGTGCGTCCATCAAATATCGACGTACGTGTGTTCTGAAAGTACCAATGGCGTTAAGAGACCTGACAGGTGGAGGCAGGTTATTCCACACTTTCGAGGCGGCATACCGGAAGCTACCCCGAAAGCCTGTTGTTCTATGCCTCGGTATGGATAGTGGGCGGGTGCACTGCCTAAGCTTACAATCTCTTCCACTTGACACCCAGTTAAGCCTGTCATACAAGTACAAAGGTTCCCTCCGCTTCACGACTCCGAACATAAGACATGCCAGATGTAATTTCCGTCTTGACTTCATTTTTAAAATAAAATGCTGGTTTAGATACGGAGTGACATGACTCCTCCTCGGAATCGCAAAGCAAAAGCGAGCACAGGCGTTTTGTACCCTTTGAATGAGCCTCTCCGTACGTGTCAGTAGACGAGGGCCGTAAACGGTATCGGCATAATTCAACTTTGATAAAACTAGGGATTCTACAAGTTGTATCCGCAGTTCCTCAGACAAATACGGTCGTATCTTGTATAGAATAGACAAGCGGTAAAAACAGTTACGGACCGATTCAGCAATGTGTTTCTCGTACCTAAGACCGCTATCCATGTATAATCCCAGGTTTCGCGCCCCTTCAACCCTCTCAATCGACTCCCCCATTAATTTTACATTTAAGTCAGGCAAAGAACTCAGGCTGACCCTGCTACCAAACAACATATATTTGGTTTTTGCAGGGTTTAATACCAGTGAGTTCTCTTCTGACCATTTCACAATTCTATTTAGGTCTTGATTTAAGCTGTTAATTGCGGTGTGATATTCGTTCGTCCGAAAAGAGACATATAATTGCACATCGTCTGCATAAATGTGATATCCACTACTCTTTAGGCATTTAGTTAAGTCCGCACAGTATAATGTAAATAACACGGGCCCCAAAATGGGCCCGGTATATGGCATTAGGCTCACCCCCTGTTACATGGGACTCATAACATAAATAGTGAAAAGTGGGTGTTACACTGTACAGTGGCATTAATGTACGCCTCTGCCTACCCCTTCGGCGATAAAAGTCGTAATGTTATGTTATTTATAACGTTTGTGAAATTAATTGGTTTTAAAAATGGCTACATCTTTACACTGAGCTATGATTAGCTGCAGGACTTATGACTAGTTACTCCACTACGCTGCGGTACAAGTACGGGTAGTGAAATGCATAATTGAACATTTGCAAAGCATAGGCTAAGAATGTAGAGAAGCGGAAAACGACGCTTGATAGTTTGTCGATGTCTTTGCAATGGTTTCCACTATTTTCCAGTTAATGTAGGACGTCACATCGCAAAAATGTTCGAACTCCCTCTATGCATCGCAAGAACTTGCGAATTCGCATCGCGCATCAAAATCTTATCTTCCCAAAATCTTCTTTGTTTCATTTTCCCGTATCTCCTAAGCTAAACAGAAGAGCACACATCTTTTTGCGATACATGTCACGACCTAATTTTTAATTTAAAATACGTTCAGTACTGTTAACGGTCGTCGAAGGAATGGTCACCCTGGGAGACGCCTTTTCGCATGAAATCGCATCGCAGCTTCGTAATTTTCTGCGTTGCGAATTCGCATCGCATCGCAGTTTTGTATACAATAGCCCGTAGTCTACTTTAAATCTAGAACTAAGTAATATTTTTAAAGTACTTACCGAAATTTGAAACCTAGTAGTAAATATATAGGTGGGTTCCTTTCCATCAGTGACTAGGAAGTATGGCGAGGCGAGCAGGTTGCGGGAGGACCGCAGCACCGTGATCGCGATGTAGAAGAATAGGGTTATACCGCCTATTAGCACAGGCCTGGATATAAGAGAGTGATTGTTAGTTCTCATTATAATGGAGGCCCAATAACATTTAAGTGTTGGAGAGCCATGCATCGGCACGAATGGGCCGGTTAGACCGGAGTAATACCACGGTCTCACAGAAAACCGACGTGAAGCAACGCTTGCGTTGTGTTTCGTCGTGTGAATGAGGTTACCGGAGGCCCAGCTACCCCCTCCTAATCCCCAAAAGGCCGGTAACACATTTGTAACACTACTGGTGTTCCAGGTGTCCATGGGTGATGCCGATTGCTTACCATCAGGTGATCCGTCTGCTCGTTTACCGGTTTATGGCATAAAACAAAAACAAATCACCACGTCCCCGAAAGATGCTTATGCTGCGGATGTTCATGGACAGCACCGATTGCTTACCATCAGGTGCTCGTTTACCGACAAACACAATTTGAAATCTAGTATTAGTAAATTAAGGCGTTTGTACCTATAGTTATGTATACTTAAATTTTTGCAGTGATGTATAATTAGTCCCATATAACTAACTAAATAACCGAGTCTATTAACGCACATCAAATGGAACACAGTTCTGGAGTATTATCTAGTCTCGTGTAAGTAAATAAAAACGCTAAATTAAGTAAAAACGCGGGTTACTCACGTGAATATATCAAGAAATGCACTACTAGTTTCGAACCACAGAGGGTTTTTTTTAAGGGGGGAAAATCGTCGAATTACTGCTCCCGCCTGGGTGAGGCGGGAGGGAGTGTCAGACTCTTACTGACTAAAAACCAACCCTGTTCCTTCTCCTGCACGTCGAGCCGGAGTCCCGGTTACCCGTTAGGTTCTCCGCGACACGGGTTCTTCCTCATGAGCAGCGTGCGCGGTCGCGGCGACGTCGCACAGTTCACTCTTTTCTCGGTATATTCACGTGAGTAACCCACGTTTTTACTTAATTTATTTATTTACACTTCTGTATAACAAACATACGATGGCTGACTTAATGCCGGGTGGCATTCTCTAACAGTCAACCATGGGGTGATGCAGAGAGACACAATAGTAGGTGTAATAGGTATAATGGTTTATGTGACACAGAAAAATCACAATCAATAATTTAGTATGTCTCACGATAGTTATTTTAAAAAATAAAAACGCTGTTATATTTACCTATGAGGATCTTCAACGTCTGGCAGGACCCTGTCCACAAACATGTCGAGCAAGCCCCACCCGCCGCGCCAGTGCATAATGTTGCTCAGAATAAATATATAGGCGTACACCCGAGTTATTATCCTCTCGCGCACCCACGAGATGGCGCCGCCTTCAGGCTTGCTCCATGCTCCGGCTGAACGAGCTAACAGTCTTGTTCTGAAAATAACATAACATAACATCACGCCTTTTATCCCCGAAGGGGTAGGCAAAGGTGCACATTACGCCACTGTACAATGTAACACCCACTTTTCACTATTTATGTTATGAGTCCCATGTAATAGGGGGTAAGCCTTTGCCATATGCCGGGCACATTTTCAGACTCCGTGCTACTACTGAGGTTTTTACAAACCCAGTAATACTTTGCCCGACCCGGGAATCGAACCCGAGACCCCTTGCCCGGCAGTCGCACTTGCGACCACTCGGTCAATGAGGTAGTCTTCTGAAATGCTGTGTCGAATTCTGAAAATTAAATAAGTATTCGTAAGTTGTTGAGTTTGAAAGTACCTACACTTAGAACATTTTTAATTTGTAAATCATGATCAAAAGTTTTGTCTTAAAAGATTCATAAGTAACTAGTATAACAAGAGATAGATAGAGTCAAAGGACATTTATTTATATAGGGGTAGAAGTAATAAAATTATTTCTATCATAAACTTCATTTTATTTTTCAATTACTATTCCCGGTATATGGCAATAGGCTCGCACCCCCTATTACATAGGACTCATAACATAAATAGTGAAAAAGCGTGTTACATTGCAAATTGCCATAAAGTGTCGTAATGTGCACCTCTGCCTACCCCTTCATGGATAAAAGCGTGGTGTTATGTTTATGATGTTACGTGATTTACTTTTCGTAAATACCCAAAGTTGGCTAGATTGTGCCCGATTATTGCAACGCTACTCAATTTTAAGTCGCGTTTAAGGGTCGGTTTTTGTTTGTAAGGTAAAATTTCAATATGAGGGTTGCCATTGGTGTAAAAATGTAAATAACTACCGATGACGTAATCGTCATCTAGACTCCCCTACCACCCATATCATCCAACTAAAAATAAGCAAAACAGAGACCCTCCACCGTACACCATACTTGAACGTAAGTATAGTTCTATCTTTACGAATTCTATGTAAAATAACAGAGATGGCACGATATTTAAGTAAAATTTAAAATTAAGTAACCTTTCAGTATTCGGGAGTTAGATATCAAACAACTTCTCTTCAATGTCTAATGAAAGTAGCAGTGACGTAGCACAGTACGACGATTGATTGCTATTTTGTATTCTACAGGCACCTACTTGATTAATTATATTGAAATGAGAGCGATGACGGCGATGATTTGAAGCTTTTAGTATTTCATGTTTATTTACTTTTGTTAATAAATGCTATATATGTTTATGTTATCTGTGGCAAGCTGGCCACTTTCCATAGGGAAACCTATTTATGGTCTTCTTTTGTTTAGAGAATGTATGAGTACTAGCTGTTACCCGCGACTTCGTTCGCGTGAAATTATTCATATTTCTTGTTAATTTATGCTTTTTTGACGCGACAACGTGTTGTCTACCTTAGAAACTAACTACATTATAATTATACCTTATTTCCAATGTTTAGAGACTACTTTTGTATGAACAAATTTAGGGGATGATTTTCAACAATTATCAACAGTTAGTACTAACTCACTAATGTCGGAATACTGAGACGCTACTCAATTTTAAGTCGCATTTAAGTATAGTTCTGTCTCTACAATTTCTTTGTAAAATGACAGAGATGGCACGATATTTAAGCACGACTTAAAATTGAGTAACGTTTCAGTATTCCGGCATAAGGGACAAACTTCCCAAGACATGTATCGGTCACATGTCGAGTGAAGCCGGCCGATGTCGACTGACATGCCGTGACAACGCGCAACATATGTCCACCCACAGTGCGTTGATGTTGCCAGACATGTCGACGACAGTCTGGCAACGTCGCACTACTTCACCCGACGTCTCTGGCGACTCGTGTCGCAGGCCATTTGTCCCTTACCGTATCCTTGGCTTAAAGAATAACATAACATAACATCACGCCTTTTATTCCCGAAGGGGTAGGCAGAGGTGCACATTACGGCACTTAATGCCACTATACAATGTAACACCCACTTTTCACTATTTATGCATAAGTCCCATGTAATAGGGGGTGAGTCTATTGCCATACCGGGCACATTTCCAGACTCCGTGCTACTACTGAGATTTTCAAAAACCCGACCCGGGAATCGAACCCGAGACCCCTTGCCCGGCAGTCGCACTTGCGACCACTCGGCCAACGAGGCAGTCACTTAAAGCAACCAACAGCTTAAAGAACCCCATGCAATAACGCCATTAACATAAATGAGTGAAGATATTTTACCCTTTATCCGACGCGAGACTACAACTACTTTCAAAGTAATCATAATAATTCAATACACTCTATAAATAGACTAGAATAGACAACGTGTGTTTGTGACGTTTTATACCTCTCATAAAGGTATTTGCTAAGATGCAACCTTTGCATAATAATCTTGTTATGACTGCGCTCAGAGCATTACTCTTTGTTTCATTCTGCCTTTAAGATGAGTAGGTACTTAGTATTAGTTGTAAATGTATGATTTTATTGTCCTTAAGGTTATTTTCTTTTTCGATTTCTTTGACTGGATTTTGGTGTTACATTGTTCTCCCACAATTGAACCCACAAAACTATGTAGGTATTAAACTAAAGAATTATATTGTGACCCTGATTGAAAAAGATTAATCTATGGAGTTTCTTGCTCGTTCTTCTGTATAGGAATCTACTCACAGAAATATTAAAAAAATCTACTACATACCTTGGAATGAGCAATTAACTTCACTTTAAATTTTTTTGTTGACATTCAAAAGTGACTAATTGAATTAATTGATTTTGATTTTGACTTTGAATAGGTATACATATTTTTATACCTATTTTGTGTGTTGTTACAATGACACTCTGTATTGTGTTTAATTGAAGACCACTAAACTGATTCCGATGAATTTTGACACAGAGATAAATGGGATTCTAGAAACAGTCTCTGTTAATATTTATTGGTCCTAGTTCGAGTCGGAACCCCAGTAACTCACGCCATCACAAGTGGCGGATTATTTAGGAAACTGTTTAGATCTACGATAAGTTTCAAGTGTCCACCTCCAAAAAAATTATTAAGTCATAAGTCACTTACCTCACAATAGCGAAGCTGATATGTATCACAATACCCAGCAGATATATCTGGGCGAAGGGGAACAGGGTCGGCTTCAGCTCCATCAAGCCCCACGTTCCCCGCCATACGCTGACTACATGAGGAGCCACGATAAAGCAGGAGAATACAGCGTCACCTAAAAAGGAGATTGATATCATTATTATGGCTATATAAAAGAAAAAGAAAGAAAGAAAGAAAAACCATTTATTTTGCTACGACACATAACAAGAATACAGAAACACAAAAAAAGCCTAGGCCTATATGCTTAATCAAAACCTAGAATATTAATTGCAAAAAACATAAGTCCAATTATAGACCTTCTAAAGACCATGAATTCAGATCCCATGCTAAGCCATGCTTTTCTTTTTTTAAGGAGGAAAATCATCCGTGACGCGAGAGGGAGTGTCAGACTCTTACTGACTGAAAACAACACCGTTCCTATTTCTGCACCCCGGTAACATGTTAAGCCCTCCGCGACTTCGTATCGGCATCAGGCCTTTTGGGCCCCATCTCTTGTAGCCTGATGGCTCTTTGAGGCGTGGAACGCGACGCGCCGTACGCTCGGGTCTGGTTCTGGTCGGGCATTGGTTCATAAACGTCCGTTTAGAGTCGGATTTTCCAAAATTAGAGCAATAAGGGTTTGCAATAAAACGTAATCTCACGGTCGACTTCACGTACTTATTGGATGTTCAAGATTAACCGCCTGATTTTCAATCAACAGGTTAATCACCATTATTTTATTCAGCTATTAACAACAGGTGTGTAAAAACTTAATTGTAAATGATTCATCAATAGAATTAAAACGAAATGTAGACAATGTAGCAACCTATACCGTAGCTAGCTTCATCACAGCTGCACTCCGGGTCGATGGAGCTGGCGCACGACTCCAAAGACCTGGTCTTCTCCAGCTTCCGAGGACCTGACTCTGGGAGAAGACTCTCCGATAAGTTTGGTGGCATCTGTAAAACCGAATAAACGTTTAGAAGATGGTAGAATAAAAGTTATTAAAATGTAATACATAATTTACTATAGGAGATAATTCTATTATACAGTTTCATAATTTTTATTGAAAAAATCTTGTACAATCTATCCAAAGAAAAATGAATTGAACACAGCTAAACATTTTTTTAAGTCGCCAATGACGTGGTTATGTTTGGTAGGTGAACGAATCCCCACAGACTCGCCTATTATAAGTGTAAGTACAAATTAGACACATTTTCGCAAGGTTCCTCATCGCAGAAATATTAGAAACATTATATCTATGTTCCTCAAGAAACTCACAATTTTAAGTACAAAAATAATACTTAAGAAACGTGTGGTCAGGACGGAAAACGGACGAAACCCCAAGGTTTTTACTAAAGGTAGGTATAGTGAGTAACCTTGATGTATTGTTAATGTGTTCGCCTACCTGTATGGGACAGGTAATACTCATTAATAATATTAGTGTCCAAATATCGACCGTCAAAACCTTCCACCCCACCCGAATTTTATTGATTACCGTATATGAAGACATGACAACTATTTGGAGCTTACTTAGCTATTGGATTTTTCCATTAACTTACCATGTGCACGAGTATAATATAGAATTTATTATAATAAATCTATACAGATGCATAAAATTGGAGTGTCAGTTTGTGATAGGTATTAACACGTTCGAGGACAAAACGAGATTATACGTCATCGTTCGAGATTTTAATATCGCACAACGTACGATGACGTTCAAATAACATTTAAATTATACGGCAGAACGTTCATTTCCGATGAAAGTTCAAGTAAAAATCCTTTTAAATGTATCTTGTGTCACAACATATAAAATACCCAACTCTGTACTGTCACGTAGGGTAAGTTTAGAACTATTTAAAATAAGTGTCGTTGATAGTGTGCGGTTACGGTATTCACATACGCACAACGTGTTTATACGTCCCGCGCTCTTACATTCAGCGCGGCTGTGTCACTGTGTACATTACTTTAATGCAAATTAATGATTTTACAGCGTGAAATTGATGTTTAATGGGTTATTGTGTGTTTTAGATGGATATAAGCGCAAAATAAGACACAAGATAAGCATGTTTGATGATTCCGACATCTCCAACGAGGCGGATCCTTACCTAGATGCATATACACGTTGACGTGATAAAACGGTTGTGTCATGATATGTTTAAAACGATATTTCTTCATGGGACACTACGTACTGATACGTCGTATAATTTTGTATAGACATGTACTGTGTCATTTTGAAAACCCGACTCAAGTGGTAGCGTCCTCGAACGTGTTAAAATAACCGGTTTTTACTACATGCATATGAAAATATAGGTACTTATAAAATAACGTTTTTTACAATTTTTGCTTCTCTGTCTATCTATTTGTACCTACTGGTTAATCCCTGGAATGATTAGACCAAATTTAACCTAGGCAACTTTTATTTTGGAAAATTGAAACAAAAAAAAGTTATGTTCTAAAATTAATATTTTACGCGGGCGAAGTCGTGGGCAATAGCTAGTAAATAATAGAATGTATAACAAAAGAAAGTCGTGTTAGTTACACTATTTATAACTCAAGAACGGCTGAATCGATTTGGATGAAAATTGGTGGGGAGGTAGAATATAACCTGGAGACGGACATAGGACACATTTTTATCAAAAATTGCACGTACGAAGTCGAGGGCCGAAGCTAATAATAGTACCTATATAGATGACACCATATTGTACAATACTTACCTACATATAAACATAATTGTAGGAAAATGAATAAAAACTAGTTTAATGAAAGAAAATAAAAATAAAAGTACTTTTTATTTGATAAGCGATTGTATATCTCACGGCTTTTGCGTAAAATATTTTTAATGTTGTTTCACACTACACTAGGTAGGTATTTCTCCTGTATCGCGAGTGAAAAATAACACAAAAATAATACATGGTTTCTAATATCCATAATACACCCTTTTTAGTATAACTTATGGCTAAATACTGAAAGGCTACTCAATTTTAAATTGTATTTAAATATCGTGCCATCTCTGTCGTTTTACAAAGAATTTGAAGAGATAGAAGTACCTACACTTAAACGCGACTTAAAATTGAGTAAGTTACAGTATTGGAGCTGTCATTCTAAGCGACTCGGCAGTTAAAAGGAAAAAACCACGTTTGAGTCGCAAGATTTTATTTATATAAAAAAAGGTTATAATTGGGATGATGACAGGGTATGAAAATTAAAAATCTAATTATTCAGTAAGTTAGGTAATGAACATTTTATTTTGTCGTATAATAAAAACAATACTTAGATAAAAGTTTAGAAGTGGGGGCGAAAACGTCATTTCTACGTATAAAATGTACATAGAATTGACGTTACTGTAAGAAAATAAAAAATACGTGGCTACTTGTGATTGTGATTTAAAATAATCTACCAGACGGACATTGAAATAAAAATTAGGCATCTACCCTATTATACACACTTTAACGTCTTAAACTACACTCACAGTCGCGGGGTTGCTCTAGTGAAAGGCTATGTCGACCCGGTCTAGATCCGGAATTTGGGCTGAAAACTAACAAGTTGGGCTAGATCCGAAGATCACGATTATATCAGCACCTGAGTCTTGACTAAATCTGTACTAAATTTGGGAAAATAATGATTATTTGTAGCAAATAATTGCTGATGTAGAATCTTGTGTTTCACGTAAATCAATGCAGTTCTAACATATAGGCAATTTGGTATGCAGATCATTGATGCAATAAGCATTATTATTAGGGCTATTACAGAGCATTAGTGTATTTTACAGATTAATTGATAAATACTTACGTCAGTATCATCCATTATTTTGAAAAAAATAGTACTTATTTGCACCTAACTTTCACTTGTAATTATTTAATTTTTGATCCACTATAAGTGGCAGTGTCTATTATATTTTATTACAAATAGACGATGAGTTGTTTTTTCAAACGACAGCACTATAAAATGCCAAGTAAAATACCAAAATATTTTAGCTCTTTGAAAAAGGTAGTTTTGTATACACATGAATGATTTAATACCTTATTTAAAGTATGATTTGAAACAGTTTACGAAGCTAGCAAAATAACAAATGACTGCAGATGCATGCGCATCAATGCAGATGGTTTATCTTCAAGATAACTAGGATTAGTTTAATTTAGTCATAACAAGAATGAAACTAGTCTATATAGAGCTTATAATGTTGTTCGACTGCACGGTTGGTGCGGTGGCTGAGCAACCGGCTGCCGTGCAACGTGTCGCGGGTTCGATTCCCGCACGGAACAACACTTTGTGTGATCCACAAATTGTTATTTCGGGTCTGGGTGTCATGTGTATGTGAACTTGTATGTTTGTAAACTCACCCACGACACAGGAGATAAACCTAGTGTGGGGCACCGTTTAAAAAAATAAAAAAAGAACATGTAACAGTACACTATACAAAAGTAAACTATTAACAAGTATCAACAAAGCACTACATAACCCCTTTTATTCCTTTTAGTCCTTCTGAGGACTAAGGTTTTTTTAATGAAATAGGAGGCAAACGAGCTGACGGATAACCTGATGGTAAGCGATCAGCGCCGCCCATGGACACCCGCAACACCAGAGGAATGACAGGTGCGTTGCCGGCCTTTTAAAAATGAATACTCTCTTTTCTTAAAGGTTTGAAGGCTGACGACAGATCATCCCACAGTTTTGCTGCATATTTAAGCGTTTTAACAAAAATTTGATAGTCATGTTTCGATTGGTGTAAGTCTTTTGTGTATTTGGAAGTAAGCCTAATCCTATTATCATACACTAGTTAGGTACAATTGGTCTCAGTAGTTCGAGTACCCTAATAATAGAAAGAAAAAAAGAAAGACACCAGTAGGGACACAGTAATAATACTTTTTCCAACCTCAGAACCTGTGACCTCTTTGCTCGATAGTCGCGCTACCAACCTCTCGTTCAGCGTCATGCACACATAAATGACCTACGTGGCGCTGTGTGTTGGGTTGTTCCGTTCCCAATAAAAAGGTTGACCGGACCAATTGCTGACACACACGTCATACTCGTGAACGGGTGCCTTCTGCTGGGGCAGGTCGGCTCTCCCATCTTGTTGGTGGGCTGATTTCATGAAGCCTTATAAATAGATAATGCCTAATTATTATGTAATTTATACTTTTGGTAATAATTATAGATGTAGTTAATTGTAGTGTGTAACTAGGTTCCCTCTTTACTTTATAAAAATTCACTAGATGTATTATAATAAAAAAAAATGTATGACAAGGGCACGGACCTAGAGTCCGTGGAGAATTAATCTGTAATATTATAAAAAAAAACCCCTCATTCAACAGGCCAGGCAACTAGTGTATTAATGGATAATACTTCAAAGTAGTACAAACTGACTAAGCTGAATGAAGATGGACAGACAGACACAGTAAGGTTTCTTTTTGTATTTAAAGTGGTTTATAGGTCAATAACAAACGATAGTACATACTAAATGTATAAACTTGAGTGTCTTAATAAAATTGAACGATAATTTTTATAAGTGCACAATTTTGTTTGTCTGTTTGTTGGTTTGTCTTTCTATGACGTTGCGATTTTTTTTAAGGGGTGAAAACCATCGAATGTCTCCTCCCGCCTAAGTGAGGCGGAAGGGAGTGTCAGACTCTTACTGACTAAAAACCACCCCGTTCCTTCTCCTGCACGTCGAGTCGGAGCCCCGGTTACCCGTTAGGTTCTCCGCGATATGACGTTGATATACGGTGTGATTTTATAGTACGAATTTTGTGTTTAGCTCTATACCTAACTATTATTTAGGAGGTTATAACTATATAGAAGATTTTGTTTTTTTTTTAAGGGGGATAATCGTCCAATTACTTCTACCACCTTGGGTAAGGCGATTGTCAGACTCTTACTGACTAAAAACCATCCGTTCCTACTCCTGCTCTTCGAGCCGGAGCCCCAGCAACCCGTTAAGTCCTTCGCAGCTTCATAGTTAGAAGATAGGAGTGTGACATA